TTCTTTTTCTTTTCTTCCTTCTCTTTTTTCTTATTTTCTTCCTTATTTTCTTTCTTTACTTTCTATTTTCTCCTTTTCTTTCGTTCTTACTTCCCTCTTTCCTTACCTCCGAGTACTTTCTTTCCTTCCCTCCTTCTTTCTTTCTTTAATTAAGTTCTTGCTTTTTTAGCTTTCTCCTTTCTCCCTTCCTTCCTTTCCTCTTTCTTTTTTGTTCCTTTGTGTATTATTTGCTGTTGTTATTGCCAGCTATTTCTTTCTTCTTTCTTCATTTCTAATTAATTCTTTTGTATCATTCTTATTTCCTATTCCATTTTTTTTTTTTTTACTATAGTCGCTTACTTGCTTTCTTGCTAATATTTAATGTATTATTTGCAGGACGAAATCGATGCATTGAGACAAGAAAATGAGGTAACAGACATTCACAAATAAAAAAACATACAGCATATTTTATTCACTAAATAATATATGTCCAAGTGTATCTTTTGAAGGAATAACTGGTTGTCTTGACGTTCGTAGTTATATAGATTAGTCGAGTGCTTGCTTGCAATCACGGTGTAAAACTATTATCTATAAAATATCCATGGTATTGGTCTTTCATCCAGTTAGTTTCTTAGCTGCTATTTGGTTTGATACTAAATTCTTCCTGATTGCTGTGCGACGCGCCTACACGTGGCCACCCAACTTATTATTTTTCTTGCTAGTTGCCTAATCAGATATCGAGAATTTGTGCTTCTGCACATGAACTCACTAAGCGTGGCCGCAAATATTTAAAYTTATTTCGTACTCTTTGCAACRAAAACTTATATAAATAATTAGAAATTGTCCTGATGATACCTAGTTTGGTCCATTTTGCGGGCTAACATTGTGCAATTTCGTATAAAAATGTTTCAATTGATGGAAATACTTGGCGGGAAAGGAAAAAAAAAGTTGTCTGGCCACGGTTATGCGCGTCCCACTTTATAACTGAACCGTAGGGAACCATTTTGACTAGTAATGTTAATTTGCTAATTAAATGTTTTTTCTGTTCTCTAGAGCATAAGGCAAGACTTAGGAGTAAAGGAGGAATTGTGTAACGAGTAAGTCAGTTCCTTCAATAAATAMCAATATTTTTTGTCCTTCCCCTTCTTTCTTGAATCACCTGTATCTCCTCCTGGCAATTATTGCGCACCTGTCGTCTATTGCTGATCGATATAAATGGTTTCTGATAGCTCGTTTTTAATTCGAATGCTTAACACGTTCTAAACTTCAAACCTTTATTTACTCCGATCTTTTATTTGCATTGTTCTTYTCAGGTTGGCAGCAGAGAACGAAGATTTAAAGGTAATACACTGTAGAAATATTGAAGTGCTGAATTCCTCCTTGAACACTAAAATATTCAAATAATTGTAGAGTGCATGCATACCATATATCCATGAAAAACTTTTTTTTCTAAAAAGACTGAAAATTTCACATATATTAGTAATAAAGTCCAGTAAACCGTATTGAGTTG